AAAAACCACCTCTGCGGTACTAAATTCTACTCACCTGGTATCGACAATCAAAGGCATTTCCCTGTCCCCAAACGACCTGCTTGTCAGTTTTGATGTGGTGTCCTTGTTCACCAAAGTCCCGGTACCTGACACCATCGCTATCATTGAAGACCTGGTTCATCAAGGACTGCATACTGATGTACCCCCCCTGGTGAGACATTGCTTAACCAACACTTACTTCACCTGGAATGGAACTTTCTACAAACAAACTGAGGGCACCCCAATGGGCTCCCCCCTATCTCCGGTTGTAGCCAACGTATTCATGGAAAAATTTGAAACTGACGCCATCCAGACTGCCACTCTACGCCCGACCTTATGGAAGAGGTACGTTGATGACACCTTTGTCATCTGGCCACATGGCCAGCCTGCTCTAGACCAATTCCACGACCACATCAATTCCATACACCCAGCCATCAGATTTACCATGGAGGTCGAAAAAGATGGCAAACTACCCTTTTTGGATGTCTTAATTAAAAGAAGACATGATGGTTCAATGAGCCACTCTGTCTGCAGGAAAGCTACCCATACAGATGCTTACTTGAAACCGGATTCCCACCACCATCCATCCCAGAAGAACTCCCTCATCAAGACTCTATACCATAGAGCCCAATGCATTTCCGACCAGGAACACATTACCAGTGAACTCAAGCACGTACACCAGGCTCTCAGGGCTAATGGCTACTCCGACTACACAATCCGCAAAGCCATCACTCCAGTCATGAAGAAGGATCCTCTTGTGGAGCCACTCAAAACCATCACCTTACCCTACATTGCAGGGGTCACTAAAAAGATCTCCAAAATCCTGAACAAACACAAAATCCAGGTCCGATTCAACACAGTACATAAAATCCGTGATTTAATTCCATCTGTAAAAGATGCTGTTCCAGACATACAGTACCCGGGCATTTACAAACTAAAGTGCCTCTGTGGTAGTAGCTACATTGGAGAAATCAAAAGACATATCTCGGACCGCATCCGCGAACACAAAGCAGACTTGAAACACGGTAGGACGAACTCCTCTGCCGTGGCAGATCACTGTTATAATTCAGTGGGCTCACATGACATTGACTTCTCCAAGACGGAGGTTCTTTGCAAACCAACCGGCTACCATGAGAGATTCGTTCATGAGGCCATTCACATATACAAGCACAGAGACAATTTCAACCGAGAAGATGGATTCAGGCTTAGTAACCACTGGAAATATGTTTTAAATCATTTCTGTTCTTAATTAATTGTATTTCTACGATGACCTTCAGACCGCAGCTCTTCCGCTAGCATTGCCTCTTAATACCTCTCACACCACGGTTAATGGTATAGTTTTACAATATGGAGCATACTAGGGCCTCGCAGCTGTCTCTCTCCCCCTCCTCTGTTCCGACCATGGACGAACTCGTCCGTCTGAACGGGGCCCGTAGCTATCCGTGGTGCAGAAATTTGAGGGTAAGAATCCACCCATTTTTTCGCCATATAGCATTGTGATATATAACGACTTATTGTTGGTAGCTTAGCTGATTGGAGAATATAGAGTTTATTGATAACATGAAGGTAATTTATATTTTAGTTTTTATTGGTTCACTATATAGTACTGTGAATAGCTCAGATGTGTAGTCATTTCTGTGACCAGTCACTAGCTAATCACTCAGTTGTTTCAATGCTGGATTCGCCTAGTTATTTCAATGCTAAATTCTCCTGTTTGATTTGTACTAAGGGCCTCGGTGAATCTGTATACTCTGACGTTAACGTAGCTATTTCTACAGCAGGTACAAGCTCTATTTCTGCAGCAGGTACAAGCTAATCACTCACCTATCTCAATGCTAAATTCTATGCTAATTCCATTGTCAAGATGTGTATGCCTTAACTTAGCTATTTCAATGCTAAATTATATGCTAATCCCTTTAACAATGGGTGCCTCTGCAGGTGTGTATGCTTTAACTTTTAACATAGCTTTTTCTGTGACCAGTCACAAGCTAATCATTCAGCCATTTCAATGCTAAATTATATGCTAATTCCTTTGTCAAGGCGCTTTGTTCCTCTCACACAGCTTAAAGGCCGTATCTGAACGTGGCTCTTTCACTCCAGCGCTGTCCTACCAGACAGTCTCGCCCCCTTCACCTGATGAAGGCCGCTTGTGTTGTGGCCGAAACGTCGTGAGAATATTATTGTGTTATTTTATTTTATCAATTTATTATTTTATTATCATTCTACGTGACTTTACCGAAAGAACCAAAGAAAATAATTTCACTTACAAATAAGAAACCGATGCAATAATTTCGATTTAAAGCTTTCGTGACTGCAATGATTCATCTTCTTTGGTTCTTTCGGTAAAGTCACGTAGAATGAGAATAAAATAATAAATTGATAAAATAAAATAACACAATAATATTCTCACGACGTTTCGGCCACAACACAAGCGGCCTTCATCAGGTGAAGGGGCGAGACTGTCTGTGTTGTGGCCGAAACGTCGTGAGAATATTATTGTGTTATTTTATTTTATCAATTTATTATTTTATTCTCATTCTACGTGACTTTACCGAAAGAACCAAAGACGATGCAATAATGTTGTGGCTGAAGCCCCGATTATAACCCAACGAACTCAGTGCTGCCAGGCGCAGTGCTCTGACACGTGGCATTCGCCTCAAGTCACCTCCACGATTCCCAGTTTCTCAATGAGTTTTTTTCTTTCTTTCTTTCGGATATGGTGGGAAATAGACGGGACACGCGGTTATCGCACACTCTCAGGGTCTTAAACAGGTCACAAACGTGTCTGCTGCACTGCCGTCGACTGACGACTTCGTAACGCTGCAGGTTGGAAGGCACAAATGAAAGGCACAATCTGGGTGCCTTCAGATTCGGGGGTTGGCGACCTTGCAAAGGACAAGAAGAAGCAGAGGCATTTTTGCGTGTTTTTGTCTTTGATTAAAATAGTTCGGGAGCCGCATCACGCGCAGAGTCACTTGTACACAGACACAGCAGGTATACAGCAGATGACGACACATTCTGACGTGAACAAAATAGGCGATTGAATAAACTGCGTCTATTTAGTATTCCCCCCCATCCCCACCGCCTTTAGTTATTCTTTGACAATACAGTACAACTGCACGTTGTATTATTCTTAGCTCTTTCGGTAAAGTCACGTTGAAGGGAAACAATAATATAATAAAATATATATAAAACAATAAAAATTATAACGACGTTTCGACCATAACACAAACGGTCATCATCAGGTGTGAAAACCCAACGGCAAGAAACTTTTGAAAGAAGTGTCGGTCCGCATATATATATATTTATTTATAAACGGTGTATTTATTTATTAAAAAAACGTCAGCGCCACGCGCAGCGATTTGGCAGTTTATTTAGAAGGACGAGTCCATCTATGTTCTGAAAAGAGGAGGGGGGAAACGAGAAATTAATGTTTGCTGTCTGAAAGCCACTGTAAGCGTGAACAATCAATTAAGACCTGAAATGGTTTATCAAATCTTTCCAATGATTGCTAAGCCAGAATCCATCTTCTCGGTTGAAATTGTCTCTGTGCTTGTATATGTGGATAGCCTCATGAACGAATCTCTCATGGTAGCCAGATGGCTTACAAAGAACCTCTGTCTATTTTATTGTTTCCCTTCAACGTGACTTTACCGAAAGAGCTAAGAATATGAATTACTGCAGTCACGAACGCTTTAAATCAAAATTTGCACATTGTATTGTCACCAAGACATTCCACAGTGACCCATATTTATTCAATTATTTTTTTTCATAAAATAATGTTTTAAGATTTATGGTTTGAAAAATGAAAAATGGTTGCCTGCAAGGGGGTAACCAAAAAGCCGCGTGTTGCCAACCCCTGCGCCAGAGCCTTAGAATTGACGTAGGCACTGCCATGCCAGGCCACACTGTGGGCAGTGCTGGATTATAATCTGAGTAGTAAAAGTAGCTACACATGTAGTAGCTACGGGCCCCACACGTTCAAGGGTCGCGCGCTAAATGCTTTCAAGCTATCAATTCTGGTTCAGTGATTCTGCACTTGCTCTATTAATGTAGTACTATACTGCCTTCAACTTTTACGAACGACTGGGTGTTTAAGGTTAGCGATTTGTCGTATTATTTGGCTGTATAGCAAATGCAAAAATACAATTGCTTTACTATGCAAGTAAAAAATGTGTGTTTTAATGTTTATGGTTTTTTAGGGCCTCTTTATAACATATGCTACAGGCTCCGCACTAGCTTAATCCGGCACTGACTGTGGGTATTATTCTATTTTGGAACAGTGTACAACTCTTTAGCACCTATCATGGAGCACGAGGTTCCGGTGTCACCATCCGGCTGTTGGATGGATGCGAGTTCACAGCATGAGCTGTCATTGTTTATTCACCATTTCCGTTTATTCGATGTTCATTTGGTAAATGGTTAGATTTAGTTATTGGATTTATTCAAACTTTCAGTCAACAGCGCTTTTTTTCACATGCAAAACTAAAATTACCAGTGAATGAAAACAAATCAAATCCCAGAATTGATACAACTGAGGGATATCTCGATAAAAAATATATATATATACATACCGTCTTCCATTGAGACAGATGTACAGAGCCCCCACACATCCCACTATCGTGTATATATCGAGCACGACACAATATGGCCTAAGTTACGATTTCAGAGTTCCACTACAACTGGTGGTATCTCAGTTGATGGCGCTGTTCGAGAAATTACTATGCTGTGTGTGATTGAAAACTCATTTCTTCAGAACAGCTTTTTTGTGGTTAGCCTGTTGTCCTTCTCCCGCGCCCGCGATAAGCCACGTTTGGTCACGCGCGGCGCGAGCGAAGTCCAGCTTTCATACGGCACATGAATGACGCCGCAATAAGCCGGGCTCAGAAACGCAATAACAGAACGTGAGCTCGCGGCAGTGCGGCGCGGCGTCGGAGGCGTGTGATCGTTCGCGTTTGCTCACGGCCCCACTTTGTGTGCAGGCTGTGCCAGCTGGAAGGGCTGCCCGTGCGCGGGGCGAGCGAGCTCGAGAACGGACACTTCTACGTGGCCGTGGGCAGTGAGCGCTTCAAGCCGCTGCCCTACGGGGAGTTGGTGGCGCGGTGGGCGTCACGCAGTCGGGTGCGCAGGTACGTGGCCCGTCACGCGGAGCCACTCTTCGCTCCGTCGGCGCCAATGTCAACTCGGTCCGTCGCCGTCGTCGTCGTCGCCGTCGTAGCAAGTCGGAATAAAGCGCGGTGCAGGTTCGGGAGGTGCGGTCCCCGTGCGGTAGAATGAACACCCAAGCGTGACTTGTGAATCCTTTGGAAATCCTTTACAGATTACGCACGTTGAACTTCTCTCGCACCGTACGCAAACGATCGTGCAAATCGGAGGTGCGTGGAAAGGACAACAAGCTAAAAGCAGTTCTAAAGAATGTGTTTTTAAAATCTAGATGATTAAAAAATGCACAAATCCAGTGGCTTCCTACTATCGTAAGGAAGAGCGTTTCAGACAGCCGCAAACACATTCCAGACAGCCCCATCAACGTCGTCAATGCGTGGCAGTAGGCAGCACTCCCAGCTCCAGGTACAGCATTGGGATGAGGAGGCCGTCACATGCTCGCGGTTTGGTGTCTCCATACTCCAGCAGTGGAGAGCGGACCTCCTGCCTGCTGCCTGCTGCTCCTCCCGCATCCCACCACCTCCCCCTGTGCTTTGTAGCTTCCTCGTTTGAATAAAGTGGACGGGACCCAACCTGGATGTAACTCTGGATTGGCCCTTGCGAACTCCTTGTGGTGCAGATGTACGCTAAAAAAACTCCACAAACACGACAAAGCTCCCCCGTATAGCCTTGACAGACGGCTGCGGCAAGTGTTGTCGGCGAGAACCAATCAAGGCCGGTGCGGCACATGAAGGCGAGCACCACGCACGACCGCCTTTGTCTCCCTCGTGGAGATGTTTACTACACCAGGTACTCTTTGGAGGTTGAGTCGACCTAGGGGAGACCCAGGATCGGTTCAGATAATCGTCACTGATGTTGGCCGTGAGTGGGAGTCGAATTCGGGTCATAGCGCAGCGTGCTAACCACTACACTACCACTCGTCAAACAGGAGAGACCATCACACACAGCGGACATTCTGTCGTGGGATGGGAATTCTGCTTCACATCGTCACGCTCATAATCATCATGATCATCATCATTGCCATGATCATTAGTTACTTCAAGCCAATGCTATCTTTTTCTCTTCTGATTGAGTCATCTGCCCAGTGGCAAGCTCAAACAATGCTGCCGAAATTATTCTAATCTTGTCGGAATGGAGTCTTGACACTCACGTCGACGGGAAGCAGCGGGGTTCTTACTGTCATTCCACGCGTACCAGGAGGACGTGTGCATGTGCAGGTAGTACAAATCTGTTGTCTTTAAGGATGTCAACTCCCTCGCTTGGTATGCAGGAGGTCGTGGGCTAAATCCTGACCCCGACGCCTGTATATTTGGAGTTTGTGTGTCTCCCTCCCCGTAGTCACGTGGTTTTTCTCCGAATCCTCCGGGTTTCCCATTCACTTTTAGAATCAACGTGCATTTAGAGTATTTGGCTGCTATAAATGTCCACATCATAAGCCACTTCGTGGAGATATAATTTGTGGCCAGGTCGCTTCTGAAAAAGAGCTACGTAGCTCAGTGAGCCTTGCCTGGTAAAATAAAGAGTAGTTTAGTTTTCGTATAATGTGGGGATTTGTGAGTAGGAAGTAAAGAGATGACTGCATTAGCAAGTTTTGGACAACATTAACAACTTCGGGAACCTGGTCATGTCAATTGTAATGTTTGGACAGGTTCTTGTGGCTACATGAATGCCTGTTGCTGTACGGGTTAGAGAACTGCCCTTGAGCGAAACAATAACAACATAATCTCGTGGCTTTTGAACGCAGTTGCTTGTGAAGGATGCAATACGTTTAATGGGAGGAGAGGTGTAAGCAGCTTGGTGGCTCGGTATAGAATGTGTCAGGAAAGCTCTGTAGACATACCTGTGAAGCCCTTATCAGTGCCCTACCTTATTACAGATCATTGCAGACCTTATTGATCACCCGGTGCCCTTATACATCTCTACGTTAATCCTACAAAGTCCCATCACAAGGGAGAAACACAAACAAATAGACACAATTGTTTGCCCGTATTGAAAAGGCTGTACGCCGTATGGACCTGAACACGGATTTTCTCTGTAGAAGAATACGGGCAAACCAAATGGGTTGACGCGGTGTGTGTAGATGTAATTGTGAAGAGGAGGTTGTGGATGGGCGGAACACGTTTGCAGGAATTAGCAAGACAGGTTCCTAAGACAGGGATAAAGGGAGCACAAGAGGGACTCACTTTTCAAAAACATTATCGCCATCATGATGGCTGCAAATTGTTCACGGCGTTACAACCAGAATCGTGTCGTGTTAGAGCTTATCGTGGGGTTTTTCCCCATGGTAAAAATATATGGTGGGCAGAGCAAAGGTACCTTGGTGTCACAGCGGATGCAGGTAACGTTAAATTACTCTATTGTTGCAAGCTTCTCTCTTCCACTAAGTTGTATATTCAATAAATTAATAACAGTGCTGTACCTGACTGTTTTTTGTTTTCTTCCAGATCCAACCGTACTTCTCTTCCGCCAGTGTCTTCAAATTGGAAGAAGAAATCAGAGGTAAAATAAAAAAATGTATTACTCAAATGTTATAGTGATGCAGCTTCTCAGGTGAACTAGTTTGGAAAGCCTGACTTTGTGAGCAAACTTATCAGACCGAGCACGTGTTATAATGCAGCGAGGCGGCTGGATGGCTCAGAGATGAAAGCACTGGGCCAATAACCACTGAGAACTGGGATGGAATCTGGGTCGCCTCCCATTAATAAACATGGAATCTCACGTGTAACTAGTATAAGGCCTCTGCTCAGTCACCAATGATGGCACAAGAAACCCATCACATTATGATTTTGTCATTAATTTTCTGAAATTCGACAAACTAATAGCAGAGTGAATGGGACAGTGCGGCCACAATTGTGTGAACGATTAAAAACGTCACTTGAAGGGTTTTGCCGAAGAACTATTAAACGTCTCATGTGCAGCTGGAGGTGTACAGTATTTCTCCTCTTTCACAGTGGCCAGAGATGTTGGAAGAAGTGGGGGTACCCACACTTTACCCCACCACACACACAACCTGCCAATTGGCTAACGTTGGTGCCCCCAGTTCATGCTACTGGGTGGACAGAGGTGGAAGGAGATTCCAAACAAAAGACGTGCCCATTGCTTCAACTGCCATTGCCGGGACATTTAACCATTGACTTATGGATTTCGAGTCCAGTGTGGTAACGATTTCGTCAGGGCAACAGTCCTGCTTTAGTGCAGTTGAGTAAAAAAAAAACATGAACAGTGCTGACAGTGCCGAGACATTACAACAAAGTGTTGTAGTTATTTATCCGTTGGAAGTTATTTATTAGGCATGAAATGTTGTTTCCTCGAACATTTGCTGAATGGTCACAATTCATTTAAACGATCGGTAATATTTAGCCTCTTTTTGACTGTTTCATTCGCGTTGTTTCTAATTGTTCCCCCCCCACCCCCCGTCTTGTTTGCCTAGTTTTGGTCACTCCATGGCCAGAAATGTAACAGCCTTTCATTTTCACGAATGGTAAATAAATTACTCTTTTTGGTTCTGCGCGGTCTCTTGCGTTAGCGCAGCAGAGCTCTGTCGGTCTCTCTCTCTGCATCCCTGTGATCAGATTAAGAGGCTCAGCCAGTCGACAGGGGGAGTCAGTGACTCTGTCCTAATCTCTCCACCTCTGCAGGTGAGCCCCGAGTGCTTTTGAACATCAATCACAAAGTGTTCACTTGCTTTTAAAACTAAAAACCTCGAGAATAAATATATCGCTTTCGTTGTTGGCAGCTCCATGATTTACGATAGACATTTAAGACTCATTCGTGTAACCGTGAAGTGTATTTTACTTGGGCAAAGTGTGTCAACCAATTAGCATATAGCAATTTGTTTACATTTGCCGATAAGGGAGACATACTGATTTACTCTTAGTGTATATGACAATAGCTTATTTTGTGATTGGCTGTGTTTTTTTCGACAACTATATGAAAAAAGCTTGTCTCTTATCCACACTTTGCATGCACGCTTTTTTAAAAAACTCTCCACTTTCTGAAATCGGAGACACCAGGCTTAGACCGTGATACCCCTCACACTCGAAAGTGATCTTTCATTTTTAACGAGAATTCAAGATCCAAACCCTCGAATCTCACCGGTTGCTCTCTCAGTATTTCTTATTGGTTGTCAACAACTTTCATTCGGCGCTCGACCCAGTGAAACCTCATTCTGAAACTCTGTTACAAGCCAAACAGTTAGCGTGGGGGTCCTGTAAGTTCAGTTCACGCGTTAGTTTTGTACGTCTGGCTATAAAGGGGGGGGGGGGGAGGGTGTCGAAGTTCCATCGCTCACGTAAACACGGCGCAATATGAACAAAACTTTGGGGGAAAAGTTGCCATTACTATTAGGGACTTACCATTATTGAAAAGCAGCCAAGCACATACAAGCTTTGCTCCAAAAAACTGGGAAGACACAAACCAAAGCAAAAAAAAAATGACTCCCTTGCGAACATGCCAGCTAATTTTCACAGTGATGGCGACTCTTCAGCTCCTTGCCTGTTCAATACTTCTGAAGAGAGACACGTGTTGCAAAGCCTTACACGTGCCCTGCGCGTGTGTGATTTTATTACATTTTTCCCCAACCTGTTTTCTCCACTTTTTTTTCTTCGCATCTCGACGTGGTGGTTTCTTCGCGCGTGCATGCGTGTCAGGAGGAAAACCGACACACGCGCTCCACAGGTGACGTGCGCGAGGGGGCCTCGGATGGCCCGACCAGGCCTAAGGCGGCGGGCAAGAAGGATGAGGAGGGGAAGGGCGACCGCACCGACTCCGACGCGGTGTTCCACCCCCGGCCAGTCAGGGTGAAGCGGGGCAATGGCGGCAGGCGGTCCTCTCACTCCCCATCCTCTGGAGGTGATGAACGTTCCTTCCGGTTCAGTGGCGGCGAGCGGAGGAGATACGGGAGATCGCACAAACTGAAAAGCACTCGAGACACCGATGACCCCAAGTATAACGGTCCAATATGTTGTTCGTGTCCTGGCTTTTTTTATTTTTTTTGCTCCTTTTCCAGACGAGGCTGGGGTGTTCAAGGCACGGCCAGGCCGAAGGGAGATGCAGGGGGCACGGGAAGTGAAGGAGGACACCAACACTAAGGTGGAGCTTCCACTGGACCAGGTGAACATTGTGTTTCTGCTACCTCCAACACCTAAACCCCCCCCCCCCCCCATATATTTAAATTACTAGGTTAGGCCCTGTGAGCCGAATGGCTCACAGGGCTATACCAAAATAAACTAAACTGAAACTAAACAAACGATAGCTCAACCAAGTGGCGTATCACGTGGACATTTATCGTAACCAAATAACTCTAAATGCATGTTTCTAACTGTGGAGGGAAAAACCGGAGGACCCAGAGAAAATCCACGTGACCATGGGCAGAGAGGCATGCAAACTCCAAATATACAGCCGTCAGGGTCGGGATCGAACCCACGATGTTCTGCACACCAGGCGAGGCAGTTAACATCTCCTAGCCACCGTGGCACCTGCGGCCCGGGCGCTGGCCTCACCTTTGCAAGGCCGCGCTTTGCACGCACAATTTACGCTCGAGTCATCAACGTCCCATCCCGCCCACGGCCATTGATGCGCCCTGGCCAGACGTTCTGAAGGAGGTGGGGCTACCCACACTCGACCCCAGCACACGTGACCTGCCCAACGACCAACCGCGGTGTACCCATTTACACCGCGGTGTGGGCAGAGGCGCGGGGCGTTAGTGAGAGTACAATTGTCCATGGGCTGCGTCGATTGCTGCGTGATAATAAGACGTACCCATGCGTTTTACTGAGTGTGGCATACTCTGGTCTCGCTCTGTAGAGGGCAGCAGAGACAGTGGAAGAGGACCTGACTGAACCCACCGCTAGAAAGAACAAGGTGAGAGCACTCACCCACGGAAAGGTACAAGCTCGGTTGTCAGGGAGAAGGTTGTCATGATTTTATGAGGTTGCACTCATTACCACAATACTTTTCTGATCTCATCAAGGAGCATAAACCATCACGTGAACACCGGTCATCCTCGCAGCAGCGGCTTTTGGCTAACCATCGAACAAAGATGGTCACTGCATGATCGCGTGCTTTCAGATGCGCTTCTACGGCTGTCTAGAAAGCTCTTCCTTCCAATATTAATAAGCCACTGGAGCTATGCACTTTAAATCTAGATTGAAAATACATTTCTGTAGAATTAATTTTTGTGTTTAGTTTGTTGTCCTTCCCCCGCACCTCCATTTAGCATGGTTGGCTACGTACGGTCTGAAAGAAGTTCAACATACATAGTTACATGTATATCTTTTTAAATATAAAATGCAAGTGGCTGGCATTTACTTCATGGTATAAATGTCATTATTTACATTGTCTTGATTCACCAGAGCTTGGGGAAATAGCAATTGGACCGCTATACTTTTCCTATACATCTGACTCAAGCGCCACCAGTTTCCGAATGTCGTGCGACTTGCGCAAAGGATTTAGATGAAGGAACAAAAGAAGACACGGCACATAAAACGTCAGCACGGTAAATTGTGATATGATAAAAAAAAATCCCCGAGCAAAATCAAGCAGAATAAAACGTGGAATTTACAGTGCCTTTTTTTTCTTTTAGGATGTGAAACGTTGTACTGAAATTGTCAATGTTGTGGATTTGCTCTCCAACACACCGTTGGGCTGATGCAGTAACTAATTGGCGTGTTTTGTTTACGTAAAAAAAACCTTACTAATTGGCGATCTAACCTAAAAAAAACTATTATTATGAATAATATTTCTCGCCAAAAGCTTTCTACGTGTCAAACTGGGAGGCTTTATGTGAAATTAGGCCAGCCAAAAGGTCAAACGAGATTTAAGGATTATTCCATTAAATCTGAGAATCTGGTCAAGATACAAATTTTGGATTGCCGCGAATGTTTGTTATTGTTTTGGATTGATTGGTAAACACGTCATCGGACGCTGTCACGGACATCGTGTCGCGACCGCGCTTTTACCACCAGAAGTGGTATCACATGGTATCTGGCGATGTCAGTTTTGGCAGCACGAAGACACATTACATGATTCACAAATGTGAATGATCCGAAAATATGAAAGAGATCCAAAATTATCTGAAACAGCATATAAACAAACTAAATCACTGAATTTTTTTTTATATTTTACCAGGTAAGGCCCACTGAGCTATACAGCTCTTTTTCAGAAGCAATCTGGCCACGAACGATAGCTTAACAAAGTGGCTTATCGCATGGAAATGTATATTATCCAAATACTATAACCGTATGTTGATTCTAAATGTGGAGGGAAAAACCGGAGGGGCTGGAGAAAAATCCACGCGACCATAGGTGGAGAGGCACCACACAACTCCAAATATACAGCAGGCCTCAGAGTCGTGATCAAACCCACGACCTCCTGTGTACCAGGCGAGGGAGTTAACATCTCGCCACCATGGCGGGCCACCTAACCGCATGAAAGATGATGACTATGATGATGATGTCCCTCCGTGGTGCTACGTATGTAGGTGGCTCACAGCAAGGAGAGCCCACCTTTTTCTCTCCGGCCCGCGCGTGTCAATCACTCGCCACATTCGGCCGCCCTGGTCAACGGCAACGGGCCTCGGAAGCAGGAGAACGCGGACAGCTCCGGCTCTCTGCAGCTGCCAAGGGAACCCATCGGCCCTCACTGATAGAGGGGCAGCCTGAATACCGGGGCTGCACATCAACGCCGTTCGCTTGCGAGCGCCGTGAAGGGGGTGACGTGACGCACGCAGAACTGACGCTGCGTTGTGTTTGCAGCCTATTTGTCGCAACGCCTGTAATAGAATAACATGTATCATGATCATCATTATCAGCCATTGTCAATTTACTGCTGGATGAAGACCTCGCCATGTTTGCCCTAAAATAAATTTAAGAAAATATTTAGATCTTTCTAACTAGTCTGTCAGCCAGTTCTTCAACAGTCCATTCAGAGCCAAATGAAATTATTGTTTGTCATCGATGTTTTTTTTCAATTTTGATCAACATCACTTTCTTTTTTAATAGGCAACAACAATTTTACTTTAAATTTCATCGCTGTGTTAGCTGTTTTTTGTTTTACCTGGTTTCTCGGTGATGCTGCCCGATTACCCCTGGCACCTGGAATGATGCCAGCTGCCGGATCAGGTCAAGCCGAAGTGTCTCAATGAGGAAACAACTATGGAGCCACGCTCATCCGCTTTTGGAAACACTGAACCATTGCTGGTGCATTCCAAATTTAGACGGTGGGTGCCAGATTATCCACAGTACGACGTTCGTTGAGATTTCACAAAGTGTTACCCATTTTATTCACCGAGTCCACCACAAAGTGAGGTTCAAATTCATGACCATCCCATGGTGATTTGCGGCCATTGCCCACTGAAGCGCTGCTGGCCAAACTGATGACCGCAACCAGCTCAATAATACAACACTGCGATAATTAAGGGTTATAGCATCCACCGTGAAAGTTTTCTTTATGTTGTCGCTTTTTGTTTTTTTCACGTAAGAATGATTACAATTTTTACATAGGCTTAGCAAGCAATGACAATAAAAAAAACGGTCTTGATATCGTGAATTAATAACCCGTAGCCCACTTCGCTGTGAATAACTTCGTGATGATGCTAGCGCTCGTTCATTTTGTGTGCACCGGTTTATAACGCTAGTCAGAATCTCATGAAATGCTTATTCACATTCACATGAAAAGGCTTTTAAAACGTTCCGAGGATTAAATACTTTTTAAAAAGTTTCTGCATCCTCATTGTCTAATTTACGCGGTCATGTCAACGAGCAATGATAGTTCAACGTGTTTGGTCAGCGACACTACGGTTGACGCGATGCATTCGCTCTGTCCTTCTGCCTGTCTGCAGCGTTGATCCCCCACGACTCTCAGAAAGACGATCAAAACACGGACACAATTTTGAGCATGAAAGCGGTTGCCACTATTGGGTACTTGCCCTTTGGAAAGCAGGCCAACGTGCTTAAAAGGGTTGCTCAGAATTCAGCAAGTGAAAAAAATAACAGCACTCAAGATAAAAGCGTTTTCTTTTTGTTAATCCAAGGCGATGACATCACACTTCGTACGCCCACGTGCTGCCCGATCATGTGACCGCGGGCGATGCCACCGCGAGGCATCGCCTCGTGCGGCTCGGCAGGCTTGTGACGTTGCTCAGCCAGGACAAATCCACCGCTCGCCGTAGGCCTCTCGCCAAGCTGCCACCGCACCCACCCCCACGGCGGTGGGTCCCGCGATGGGAGCACTCAACCGAGCCACCTGCGCTCACGAGCCGTTCTCGTCGCTTCCCATCGGCACGGCGCACGTGTTCTCTGGGGGCGCATTCTCGCCCCCATGATTGTCGTTCCGTCGCTCCTTGCAACCAGCGGCCCTCTTAACGGCGCGTCCCGCCCCCAAGCCAAATTTTCTGAGCAGTCAGTAACCTGCACGCGTCCTTGAAGCCTGTGCTTCTAACCACGAATTTCAGTTTGTGTTCCTTTTTCTTGGTCGACGTCCATATTTATGATGTATGTTGAACTTCTTTCGCACCATACATAGCCAACCATGCTAAATGGAGGTACAGTAAATCCAAAGTGCAGGATCCATGTCATAGCAGTACGCATTCAGTAACAAAAACAAATACTTCCGAGGGCAAACATGTTGGAAATCTTCTTTGGTTCTTTCGGTAAAGTCACGTAGAATGAGAATAAAATAATAAAATAAATAAGACAAAATTCTCACGACGTTTCGGCCACAACACAAGTAGCCTTCTTCAGGTGAAGGAACAGAACTGTCGGAACGACAGCTTCAATGAACGCTGCTAAGATTCGTAGTGTCTTTTTAAGCTGGGTGAGAGAAGTGATGCATCTTGACAAAGGAGTTTACATATCAAACAGGAGCATTGAGCATTGAAATAGCTGAGGGATTAGCTTGTGATTGGTCACAGAAATAGCTATGTTAAAGTCAAAGCATCCACATCCACAGAGGAACCTAGTACAAGGACGCCAAAGGGGCTGCACTACCCAACTAGAATACAGTAAACCGATGTGAAAAAAAACCTAAGTCTGAATTACATCAATATAATAAATGTACTCAATATATTCTTCAAAAAGCTGAGCTATTAACAGCAACTGGGTATACACTACACTATATAATGAATACCATATTGTAAACCAATAAAAAAACTAAAATATAAACTACCTCAATGTTATCAATAAACTCTATATACTGTCCAATCAGCTGAGCTACCAACAATAAGTCGTTATATATCACAATGCTATATGGCGAAAAAATGGGTGGATTCTTCTCCTCAACATCAGCACCACGGAGAGGTACGAGCTCCGTTCAGAGGGACGATTCCATCCATGCTCGGAACGGAGGAGGGGGGAGAGCAACAGCTACGAAGCGCTGTTATACTCCATGCTATAAACCATACCATTAACCGTGGTGTGAGAGGTATTAAGAAGCAATGCCAGCGAAAAAGCTGCGGTCTGAAGGTCACCGTAAAATACAATTAATTAAGAACCTAAATGGTTTAAAACATTTTTCCAATGGCTACTAAGCCAGAATCCATCTTCTCGGTTGAAATTGTCTCTGTGCTTGTATATGTGGATGGCCTCATGAACGAATCTCTCATGGTAGCCGGTTGGCTTGCAAAGAACCTCCGTCTTTGAGAAGTCAATGTCATGTGAGCCCACTGAATTATAACAGTGATCTGCCATGGGACGAAGGGGTGATTGGCCTTCCAAAGATACACAAAGAAGATACACCCCTTCGTCCCATCGTCTCTACTATCAACTCCCCCACCTATAAACTGGCACGTTTTCTTGCTGATATACTGCGACCTTTCACTGGAAAAGCCACCTCTGCGGTACTAAATTTTACTCACCTGGTATCGACAATCAAAGGCATTTCCCTGTCCCCAGACGACCTGGTTGTCAGTTAGGATGTGGTGTCCTTATTCACCAAAGTTCTGGTACCTGACACCATGGCTATCATTGAAGACCTGGTTCATCAAGGACTGCATACTGATGTAGTTTTTTTTCACATCGGTTTACTGTATGATAGTTGAGTAGTGCAGCCCCTTTGGCGTCCTTGTACTAGGTGCCTCTGTGGATGTGTAGGCTTTGACTTTAACATAGCCATTTCTGTGACCAGTCACAAGCTAATCCCTCAGCTATTTCAATGCTAAATGCTCCTGTTTGAAATGTAAACTCCTTTGTCAAGGTGGCTCACTTCTCTCACCCAACTTAAAAAGACGCTACGAATCTTAGCAGCGTTCTTTGAAGCTCTGTCGTTCCGACAGTTCTGTTCCTTCACCTGAAGAAGGCTACTTGTGTTGTGGCCGAAACGTCGTGAGAATTTTGTTGTCTTATTTTATTTTATTATTTTATTCTCATTCTACGTGACTTTACCGAAAGAACCAAAGAAGATGAATCCTTGCAGTCACGAAAGCTTTAAATCGAAATGTTGGAAATCATTATATAATCCATGCATATGCATGCTTATTCTTCCTTAATAGTCTTGTGTAAAGTGTTGTAGGTAGGTTTCTCGTGCTATCAAAAATATTGTTTGCTATCTTGTGCTTATATTTAAATTGACCCTCCAAATGAGAGGGTTACACTTGCATAACCTCATAACCTTCGAACTGTGACTTGTGCACTTTCCACTGCGTCACACGGCGGTAGAAATGATGATCCTGGGTTCGATTCTACACTATGCCACTATGCGATATATATTTTGTATTTTACAAGATAAGGCCCACTGAGTTATATAAAGCTCTTGTTCAGAAGCGACCTGGCTATCACAAATGATAGCTCAACGAAGTGGCTTATCATCATGTGGAAATTTAGTGCAGCCAAATACTCTCAAACGCATGTTTGTGAATGTGGAGGGAAAAACCGGAGGACTCGGAGAAAAAACCGCGCGACCACGGGGAGAAAAGAACACGCAAACTCCAATTATACAGGCGTCGGGGTCGTGATCGAACCCACGAGCTCCTGTATACCAGGCGAGGTACATTCCATCTCGCCTCCGTGGTACACAATTCAGGCAGGGGTCCTTGATGGAAGAGGCTTCTCACGTGGAGGGGAGAGTTAATGGTCTCAACCCAGACACCAATTGATGAAAAAAACACCGCATTATAGAATTCATTTTAAAACTTTATTCGAGTACGGCTGTGTGTGTGTGAGAGACTCGCCACCATTTGTTGCTTCAGTCGCTCCTCCTGTCATCCGTTCTCCATAGACCACAAAGGTGAGCGAATTAGGAATGGCAATGTAACGGGACCGTGAACGTTACCAGTGAGTACAGCCGTAATGCTTACTCATTGCGACTCTGTCCTAACGGCTTGCTGTAGGCCAGGTGGCTTGTGTAGCAGTAGCAGCAGCAAAGATATATAGTAGCAGCAGCACGCACAATGGCAGCAGCATTTAGCATGCACAGCAACATCAGTACACTGTTAACAGCAGCAATCTGCTGGCTATGTACGGTGCGAAAGAAGTTCAACATACATCAAGCCTTGTCTGGCATCATATTCTCCGATATCCTTCAGGCTTCGTCAGTCCTAGTGGGGCTTGGTGAAGTTTGGGCAGCTTGTGTGTGACCCTGATATATTGTAGTCCTCATAAAGAATGTCGTCTAGTTAATCGGACATATACCAATAATGAATATGCCAGGTTCCAGACAATAATATACAACCTGCAGTTGCAAGATTAGGCCATGACACACGCTGGGTGTGGGGTCAAAAATAAGTTCCCCATAATCACCAAACTCCAATATGCGTGAAAAAGCCTAAAGCAGATCGGACGAATCTGATGCCAGACAAGGCTTCTGAAAACAGACTGCTGCTGCTGTACGGTCCGCTGTCTATTAGAATGATTATGCCATTTGTACAACACGACTGCCCATATACAACTTACACAATTGCTGCTTCAGTCGAAAAATGAGTTTCTTCATGAATATTTTGGAAAGTTTGGTGCAATTCCATTGCTTAAGCAGCTGAATAGTTGTATTAAGAACTTTTCCCGAAATCAACAGCTCTGTTCCAACGGTTTCCCTGTGATGTTGGAGGAATATTCACCAAATAATGCTACTGCTGTTAGGCATATTTTAAAGACCCTGTTGGAGTGCTTGAAGATTACGCCATTTTGTGTTGGTATCGTGGTATGAATATGTAAGTTTAAAAATGACCTATTTGACACGTGTATAATACGAATATTTGTTGCTACAGGTCCCCGTTGAAAAATATATAAATACCAATGTGCTTTATTCTGGTTAGTTTGAAACATTGGATAAAATTGTTTAAAATGATTCATTTTCCCAAATCCACGACAGCTACGTGTTTTCTAAAAGTATGCATTGTCTCCTATCACTGCAACTACAAAATAACAGATTATGTATTTAATATATCCAGGATGATGCTGCAGAAGATAAATGTACATCTCTGCACGGAATCATTTGACATAAAAGGTGAAAAACTACCCAATCAACTGCATTCCACCGAACGAAATAATCCGCAGATATAGTCAGTCACAACTGCCTTCCTGCCTGTCACACCACGTGTAGCCAACAGTGCAACTCTACCTTTCACTGTTCATCCAGTCTTCACACCGATTCATGGTATTGCCTTGATTTTAGCACCTCACCTATAATTGCCCTGTTGTTAAAACGAACAAACGATCGAGGTCTCATTTCGGTCAACACCCTTTTCATAAGATCGGACAAGCCGAATTTTAAACACTCCAAGAACAGCCACGCCAGTGCCACTCAACCAGTTTTTACGGAGGGCTGCACGTTCAGCACCTTGGACAGCGCTACCGGCAGCTTCTCCACGGCACTGGCCCAGCCACCGCGCGCTTTGCCATCGCTGTGTCTCGTTTCCCCTTGCTCCTGGAACTGGAACCAAGCGCCTTTGTCGTCGGCCGAGCGGAGGGCAGAGCACGCCGACATGACGATGCCGAGGGCGAGGGATGTTCCACCCAGGCAGAACAGGATGGCGCCGGACAGCTTGCACATCTCAAGCGCGCGGTTGAAGCGCAGGGCGTGCTTGTCCACCACGAAGAAGTCGGCCTTGCCGAACGACTCGATCTTGGGGGGGATGAGGTAGCCAGTGCACACCACTGCGATCCCAAGGAGTAGAATGATGGAGCCCGTCACAGCTCCGGCCTGCGGGCCCAGGTGAGACATCGCGTTGGCAAATCACACCGTGGACCTGGGAAAGAATTGCTCGCTTTTTCCATGGGGATGTTTATTTAAACCTTGGTGAATAAACCGTCTCTCACCTCGTTCAAAATGAATGCCATTAACTAAATACGGTACAACCAGAGTCTTTGCTTATGTAATAAAACCAAACAATGATCTGCATTGCTGTTCATTAAGCTGACCACGTGGCTCTCAAGCAACGGGTTATCTGTAGAGACGACAGCTGTAACCCACAACACAGGGCAATGCTGGACTCGCATTACAATCAGTCGGGGTAATTTGCTCCTTTAACAATGGCTGTCACCTGCATGCCGCTTTCGAGAAGACATTTAAAAAAGCATTGCCATTAACACCAATACAGGTTTTTTTTTTTTAAAATGCTGATGACAGGTAACAACTAAAGCATAAAGGGATAAAAAAAACAGTAAATGTTACATATCTTTGAAAACAGGCATAGACTAAAATTGAATGCACAGATGGATCCATGCAATGTTTCATTATGCCACGTATGATGGAAGGGTTTTCACCAGACAGAGCCCCTCTTGAGGGTATGTTGGCCTGCTACTCCACGCTGGCTGTGGTGTCCCAATTTATTTTCTTTGCTAGACAGAGGCATATAGTGTTTGCTGCATATTATGCATGGAATCCGGGAAAGCCTTGCTCAGTTTGAATGTTTCTCCACCTCTTTTCTAAGAAATAATTTGGTATGTTACAGAAAGCTAGAGTACCTGGGGAAAACCAGAAGTGACAGAGCACAAAGGTCTGTGGAGAAGTGGCCACGAACGCATTTTCTGTATGACTCTTACCTTGCAGAGTCTCAAAAAACTCCACACGATCCACCAACCCTTGCCTCCACAGTGCTGGAGTGCAGTCATCTTGGCACAATGCCCGGCCTTACCAAAATATCCAGCATTTAATTATCCAGTCTACTCGGCTCTTAATGGTGCCCTCGGTAGTGAAGGATATGACCGTGTCTTTACATTCAGAGAATCACAAAGGATATTCTACTGAAGTCAATAATTGAAAGGGCGCAGTATATAGCACTTACATGAGCAAGTATGTTACTATCAAAATATTGCTGTTAGCTTTAAGATAAAGCCAATTCAGTAACAGAGTAGGTTTCATGACTGAAACTATTAATTGTATAACGGTAAATTTACTAACCAATGTAATTTACTAGTAAAATAGTTAAAATACTAATACAATACATTTACATAATTTAGATTCAAAACTACGATGCATTGCAGTGCATAGGAGGTGAGGCGGACGCTGAACAACAGTCAACGTAATTAAAAAATATGAATTCTCTGAATGTATATTTGAACAATACTCGTGATTTGAAAAAAATTATACCACCGCAATTACCCTCCGAGAATGTAATATTTTTCATCCAGTTTAATCTGGACTACAAATATGTGAAGCACAGAAGTATTTTGCTTCATACAAAAGATTCATACATTATTTCGAGCCATAATTGTATTCCATTTTGTAACGTTGAAAAGAAGATTACCGTTTTTTTTTCTCTTTAACAACACGGATTCGTCTGTGGACCCAGCAATTGTGATTAACACAGAGGCGCATATTATAATAAGTCGTGCCATTTTACATTGGGTTAGACAATTCCCCCCAAGATAACGCATTCGGGTATAGCCTATTGTCCAAAGGTAAATCACAAGCATCACCGACGATGCTGTTGCTAAATCAATAGAAGATCCAGTGGCAATGGTCAGCAGCATGCATGTCACGAGAGCAGCTGACGAGAGATGAGAGACAAGAAGAGCAGCAGCAGCAGCAAAACAGCGCCGCAGAGTTCAGAGGGCACGAATGGACACGGGCAGCTCGGACAGGAAGGGATGGAGCTTAATGGGGGAGGCTTTTGTCCAGCAGCGGTAAGCTCCAGGCTGTACGTGTATGTATGTTGTAAGGAGCCAACCGTGCTGCCAGCAACAGGAGCAGGAGCACCATTATCTAGAGTGTCTGACCTATGCTGCCCATAACTTCCATTACAGGCACTTAGGACCGTGATATAATAATAATAATAATGACAAGCATCGACGAACCCGAACGATTATGGGGCCGTCCATAAATTACGTCACGCGATTTTGGATGATTTTTGACCACCCCCCCCCCCCTTCGTCACACGGCGTCACAAAAAGTCAGACCCCCCCCCCTCAAATATGACGTCACAAAGCTCTGCCCCCCCCCAAAAAATAAAACATGCTTCAAATCGCTTTAAACTATTGTCATTGTAGTGCGTATTTAATGTGGCGCTGCACTCTGATGTATAGAAAACATTTATGAAACATTGTATTGAAATTAAGTAGAACGTGTTGTCTATATTTATTTAAAGTTGCGAATTTTGATGTGACGTCACATTTCTCAACCCCCCCCCCCCTCGTCACACATCGTCACAAATGTCTGACACCCCCCCCCCCCCCACCAGGTGCGTGACGTCATTTATGGACGGCCCCTAACCTTGCTGTATTCCATTATCCAAATCATTACGGAGAGCTCAATTTAATGAATACTTATCAATTGTTAGTCCAACTGTTTAAAAAAATATGGATCGCAGTACTGTATTTTAAACTCACCTATGACCTTAGTGGATTGGGGAAGTAAATATGTGAATAATAACGGGGGAAACATTAATCACATCAGATGTGCTGAGGACAACAACATCTAATGATAATATTTTGTGCTGCCATCGTTCGTTTTTTTTCGTGATGTTTACATTGGTTGTTGTTGTAGCTTGCTGATCCGCCACTTACCGGACATCTGTGAAAAAGAGCTTCACAGCTCATCTGATTTCCTCCTCTTGCAGTCTAAATTCAAGATTTTGTAATGCGATTCTGAACCGAAGGTAATGTTCGGCCAACGTGACAGAGAAGGGTGTAACGTTGAGCTCAGGGTAAATGTGAGAGAAAAAAAACGAAAGTCAATTTTCAAACAAAGTTCGCTCAAGAGTTGGGAGACGACTGCATGAGACTCACAAAACACGCGGGCAGAATGAGCGGAGCCACGAGCGGCACGGAAGGCATAACTAATGAAATAAAGAGACGGATAAGGGCAGTTTGACGTGATTATGGGGAGATGTGTTGCTTTCTCTCAAGCTTTCACTGACATCGACTCCTCCGTATTGTAGCTAAATGAATAGCCGCATGCTTTCTGTAGGATGCTGCTGTTAGGCTGTATCCTGTGTCTGAGTAGCGGTTTAACTCAAATGATGGATGAGGCCCTTACTTTGTTTAGACTGTGGTGTTAACTGTAATGTAGATTGATAACGGTTTGGTCGTTTGTATGAAATAAAATCAATCTACGGTTATGTGTATAGATATATATAGTGTGTGTGTGTGCTATGTGAGCCGTGTGTATGGCGGTTTCTGCAGCGATGCGTTCATTTCTTCAGTGGCACGTGGGAAGAGGGACGGAATCATCGCCGTCGCTGTTTGACTTGGCACCACGATGCTGACCTACTCACTGATGGATGCCCACCACGCGGCATTTATTTGCAACGGAAGGAAGGCAACGGGCCTTGGGGGGGGGAGCATGTAATTAATTATGAACATCTCTTTTTTTTCTTAAATCTTTCGTGACTGATGATGTCTGTTTTTAGGTTTGACCTTTTTGCCGTTAAAAGCCTCGGCTATGGGCGCCAGGGATGCGAAATAAACTACCTCGCCAGGTATACAGGAGGTCGTGGATTCTCTCCCGACCCTGACGCCTGCTGCTGTATATTCGGAGTCTGCGTGTCTCTCTCCCCATTGTCGCGTAGATTTTTCTCCGGGTCCTCCAGGTTTTGTTCGCCACCACATTTAGAATCAACATCACGCGTTTAGAGTGCGTGGCTACTGTGCAATGCCACGTGAGAAGCCACTTTTTGTTGAGCCATCATTTGCGATAGCCAGGCCGCTTATGAAACGAGCTCCATCAGTGCTGAGCGGGCCTTACCTGGTAGTAAAATAAAAACCCCGCAAGTTTAGTTTCTAATTTCGTGTGGAAGTTTGCCGCATGGGTAGGCTGTGGGGCTCGGTTACTATCTCAGCCTCGTCAAATCATCCCGACGGCCCCCATGGCTGGTGGAGGGGGCCCCTGGGCCGTAGCCCCCCCCCCCTGCCCCCCGTTCAGTGGTGGGCTGATGAAAGGGCAGCACGGCGTAGCCAGCCGGCGTTGCGAGGCTAATGAAGTTGTAAAATTAAAAAAAAGTCTAAAAATAACATGAGGACGGTATCGCGTGCACAACCCAGGGTCAACACGTCGATAAGCAATTAAGATAGATTTAACGCAGCGCTCGGGGAATCAGCGTTCATTATGCATAATTCACACAGGCACAAGCTTTTAGTGGTGCTATTAAAGTGTTATCATATTGTCCATCGATTGAGCGCCTATTTGTACACATCACATGTTAAAAATATCACAACCGCCCTGAGGATTGCACGTGAATAACCAGTGCTTTATCTGAGTATACCCTGGATGATTTGAGTATGCTACATGTATATACAGTACTAGGAATACGGTTCGGTTTACATTTTTGTCTGACTTCGCATTTGCAGATACGTAGGACCAGTCTCCGTCTTTCGTACGGCCGGAGGGAAAAGCAAGAGATTGTGAATCGTCGCGTGGCAGTCGAACGCTATTTCCTTCAACCAGTCCAAGGAGGCAGCTGCAGGCGCCGTGTGTATGTGTGTAAGTGTGGATGTGTGTAAGTGTGTATGTGTGTAAGTGTGGATGTGTGTAAGTGTGTATGTGTGTAAGTGTGGATGTGTGTAAGTGTGTATGTGTGTATGTGTGGGTGTGTGTATGTGTGTAAGTGTGTATGTGTGTATGTGTGGGTGTGTGGGTGTGTGTATGTGTGTATGTGTGTATGTGTGGGTGTGTGGGTGTGTGTATGTGTGTATGTGTATGTGTGTAAGTGTGGATGTGTGTATGTGTGTATGTGTGTAAGTGTGGATGTGTGTATGTGTGGATGTGTGTATGTGTGTAAGTGTGTATGTGTGTATGTGTGGATGTGTGGGTGTGTGTATGTGTGTATGTGTGTATGTGTGGGTGTGTGGGTGTGTGTATGTGTGGATGTTGGACTTCTTTCGCACCGTGCGAAACCAACCGTGCTCGTGCTCATCGGAGGTGCGGGGGAAGGACAACAAACTAAAGCCATGATATAAATGTTAGATCTACACTTAAAAGTGCATAGCTCCCGTTGGCTTCATAATATCCAGTGGCGTAGTAACGACAGTATTAGCTCAAAGGGGGGGGGGGGGGTGATCGGTCAGGTGGAGCCCCAATATTTGATTCGTCTCGCACGGTCGCACCCTGGAGGCTATTGTGTATCGCGGCCTCCTCTTGCCTCATCACATCGTCGTTACGCTCACGGTCTCGAGCATTTAACGCTGTGGGGGCGCTCCCTCTTCGCAAAATAAGTGGTGTTGTTGTTGTTGTTGTTTTACACTGTTGTTGAAAACTTATCTCACGGTGGTTGTCAAGGGGGGCCCCAACTCGTTGCTTTGGCCACGGGGAGGTGGGGGGGGGGGGCAAGGCACCCCCTGCCCCTATGCTGGTTACGCCAGTTATTACGCTAGTTACGTAAATTACGCTCCTGATAATATCAGAAGGGCTTTCCAGGCGGTCGCAGAAGCACGCGCGATGCAGTGACCGTCTTTGTTCGATGGCGAGCCAAAATCCCCTGCGAGGATGACCAGAGTTCGTGTCATGATGGTTTATGATCTTTGCCTTACGCTTCTTAAGGGCATCAACGAGACAGTACACTCATATTTAGTACTGTATACGAAGGGTGGTTTTAGAAAAACTGGCGGATATTGGTTTTGGTGCCATCGGACATGTATTCACACAAGCAATCATGGTGACACAATTGCACAAGTGCAAAAAAAAATGCCTGGCAGTGCCTGCTCTGTGATTGACCTCTTTGTGCGTCAACAAAAAGTCCACTCCAAAATAAACGAGTCTGCTTTGCTGTGTGTGTGATGCACACTGGAAATGGGAATAAATTACTGGGGGAAGTCTTAAATGATTCCCCCCACCTCCAATAGATCTGAGGAGAAGGAGGGGGAGGAGCTTCGCTCTGTGTGTGGGTCTCTGCGTGTGTCTGTGGGTCTGTGTGTGTCTGTGGGTCTGTGTGTGTGTCTGTGGGTCTGTGTGTGTGTCTGTGGGTCTCTGTGTTTGGCTGTGGGTCTCTGTGTGTCTGTGGGTGTCTGTGTGTCTGTAGGGCGTTGTGTGTGTATGTGGATCTCTGTGCGTGTCTGTGGGTCTGTGTGCGTGTCTTTGAGTCTCAATGCGTGTCTCATGGTCTGAGCATGCTTGCGGGTTTCTGTACGTGTCTGCGGATTCTGTCTGCGTGTCCGCGGGTCTGTCTGCGTGTCTCTTGGTCTCTGAGCATGCCTGTGGGTTTTTGTACGTGTCTGCGGGTCTCTATATTAGTCTAAGCGTCTACTCGTGAGTAAAAAATAATAATTGATTCCTTCCAGAAGGCAGTCAATCGGATTCAAATTTTCACTCCCATCACAGCATGCGTTTCGGGACTTTCCTGCCGTATTTCCACCGCTGGTAATGGAATAATTTATGGAATCATTATTAAAACATTAAATTAAGTTCCTTGGGCCGCATCAAACAACTTTACACACAGGCATACCACGTGCGCAGTGAAAACTGCAGCGAACGCGACAGAATCCCCTTACATTGTACATGCTGGATGCGCACAGGCGATTATCCTTCTCCAGCTCATCAGAGCATTGGTCATCGGCCGCCCGCGCCGTCTCGAGCCTCGGGTTTCCGCAGGCACCCCCCTCCGACTCGGCGCCGCATCGTCCGCTGCGGTAGAAGTAGTGCAGGTAGGAGCGCACGCCGTACTGGCGACTGTGCACCGCCTCCTTGTGACTGCAGAAGGAACACTCTGGGCAAGCCATGGCCATCTCTGTTGTCTGGCAGACGAGCGATGGCTGGCGACAAAAAAACAAAATGCGGTTATGGTTACGGCATCAATGCAAGATATTTCTCAGAGGCCAAGGTCAAGTGGAGGTCATCAATTGGCAAACATCGCCGATGCCACCGTAAACTTCCCTGTCGCGCATTTTGCACGGTGAGCACTCCGCCACTGAGACCTCAAGGCGACCCATGGTATCGCGTTGGTCTGGCTCAAGCTCTTTGCCCCTGCTCACCAAGATGTGCGTATCCACTTAAATTTCTGTCAAAGTAATCAGCCCCGTTACTCAATCCTGCACACGTCCATAGTGATTGAAGCTCCTCTTCCAGATGATTTTTACCATGCTCCTTTGCAGTATTCCATCGAGAAATACAAAGTTACTTTTGGTATCTTGCTTTCAAAAATGTCTCAAATGTTCTGCATGTACATATACCCAAGGCCAAACGTTTGTGTTCTAGTTGCTTATAGTCAAGCTTTCAATACATCTGCTTTACGGCATCCACCAAATACCTGCCCTGCTTAGGCAATACATTTGTTGACCTCACATTCTTCCGTATTATAATTCATTAGTGAATTATAGAGTACATTATCTTATATTTTCCGAAAGTCATTTATGTTTTTATTAACCAAAACACATTATGCACATTGATGTTGAGCAGATAACATTTTTACATGACATATGCAGAAGAATGTGTTGCTCATGTTCGCACTAACTTAGGATATTTATTTTTGATGAGTTAAGTTGATTCACTTGTTAATTGGGGCGCCACGGTGGCTAGGAGATGTTAACTACCTCGCCTGCAATACAGAAGGTTGTGGGTTCGATCCCGACCCTGACGCATGTTTTTTTTCTCTGGGTCCTGCGGTTCTCCCTCCCCATTTAGAAACATGCATTTGAAGTAATTGGCTGCAAAAAAAAACGTACACATGATAAGCCACTTCGTTGAACTAGCTATCATTTGTGGCCAGGTCGCTGAAAAAAAAACAATGTAGCTCGGTGGGTCTTACCTGGTAAAATAGAAACAGCTAGTTGATTCGGAGAAAAGCATCGCAGCATGTCCCTGTGTCTCACAGGAGGCTGATTATCAGCTTTAACATCTCATTAAAAAACCATTGTATTGCTACATGATGATGATTTGTTTGTTTGTATGTATGCTAAAAGTACGCGGTGGTATGTGTATTTTATTTATTCAGATTTTCCTGGCCAAAATGCAATCCCACGTTAGGTCAATGTCTACCTGCAAGTGTACGCACACTCAGTCATTTGTTACAACAGCCATTTTTAAAAGGTTAGGCCAGCCAAATTGGATACGGCAAAGCAAATGTATGCCAGGTTTGTACAAATCGGATTCAGAATTACCTTGGGTCGAGCGTGACTATAGTACAAAAAGACATGGAGGACACATAAGCCTTGTAGAATGGGATAAGACCCCAGGGTACAAACATCCTGCAGTACGCAACACAAATTAATTATTGGTCAACCGCCATCGAGAAACTCTTGCATGCAGCCTCTGTACCATTTGATCAGGATAATATGTGCACATCTGGCCAGAGAGTACCGTGGCAAAGTTCTGAACTCACGGCACAGAATCCTTGCAAGTGTGCGCTCTCGGGTCAAAACGTGAGCAAATATTGCAGACGGCTCAATTCTCCACGTTCTGGTGCAGTGCCAGGACGTCACACAGATCCACGTGAAACGAATTACACAACGGTGCTCCCCCGATACTTAACAACTAACAACGCATTGACGAAAATAATTCAAATGAGAGAGTGTGAAAGCGCTGCACTGCAGCGAACCGAATATGCTTTTTGACACACAATGGACCAATTCCTTTTTCGTAATTTGAACATTTCTTGCTGCGCATGAATGGCTGGAAATCTCTTCTAATGGCACATCCATTCATGGACACTTTGCCCGGTCCAGGGCTGCCCATTCTATCTTCCTTCGGGGATATCTGATGGACGGCGGATAATGACAAAGGCCCATGGTCATGATGTGGGATGCGTGGTACAGTACTGCAAGGAACAACGTGTCCCCGTGCACGAATCCATGGGCAATGCGATGCCCATTCATCTACCGTAGATATATCCACAATTGACACGTCGAGAGTAATTGTTTATGATTACCATCGGGCGATTATTTGCAACGCTGCGGAATCTTATTCGGGAATTAATTAGGCGTGCGGGACAGTGAGTTTGGCTGTGCTCCCAGTGCAAGTATTTACCCGATGCATTTTGTCTCTATGAAGAATCGTCACAAGCGCGAAGTGCGTATGAGCTTCTTTCACACCGCACGTAGCCAACCGTGCTAATGGGAGGCGCGTTATGGCACCACGAGCAATTGACAAATCACTTTCTCTTTCACGAATCTCTTAAATAAGCTTTACCTTTAACGTATTGTGACAAAAAAATAACTAATTCGATCCACGACTTAATGAAGCATTAATTAGTCGTAGAGCGCATATATTTAACGAGAATCAGTTTGTGCACGGGGGAAATCAACCATGGGATGTTTGAAAATAGTTTGTACGCCTAACAGCTGGCATCAGTGGAGACACTGCTCGCTGACAGCGCTCACCACTCCGGTGCGGTTGAAGCCTCGCTCCCGCGTCCGTGCTACATTTAAAAGACACGTCTTACGTCTTCTTTGGTTCTTTCGGTAAAGTCACGTAGAATGAGACAGCGCTGTCCTACCAGACAGTCGCGCCCCTTCACCTGATGAAGGCCGCTTGTGTTGTGGCCGAAACGTCGTGAGAATATTATTGTGTTATTTTATTTTATTTTATCAATTTATTATTTTATTCTGATTCTACGTGACTTTGCAGTCACGAAAGCTTTAAATCGAAATTTACACGTCTTACGATTAATGCAGGCAGCAGAGGTAGACTATACCATACTTATGTGTAATGATGTGAGCTGATTTCGATACAGTTGATTGGCAGTGCCGGTTGGGTTTATCTGACCACATTTGACCAAATCGGTCAGTTGATGGCATATTCGCGGGTGTTGAGCGGTACAGTACAACAATGGAAGTTGCTACACTGCCCTCTGCCGCCAATCGCGTTCACAACTCGACCCAAGGCGTCCAAACAAGCTGGTGTGTAGGGACGGTCACCCATCATCAACGCGTTACCCAGGGCTCGAACTCGCCTAGCTTGCGAGACCTTCCAACGAGACCGGGCGCATTCCGAGCGGCGTGACCAAAAGCAAGCTGTGTCCTAGGACGAAGTGAGGCGCATGCGAGTGGTGTTCGCGTGAGCGGGCTGCTGTGAGCCGCAGATGATGAGCAGGACGACGTGAGCGGTGCTGTCTCGAACGTCCAATCGCGGCGAGTCTGGAACGCTGTCGGCGAGCGGGGCTTAGGGGCCATCCGTTGAGTAGGCACGAAAAAAATCTGTCAGAACTTGACCCCTCCCCCCCCCTCCCTGTACGCACGCGGACTTTTAACACCCCCCCCCCGCATCTCAGTATGTACGCCTGACGCACCCCCCCCCCCAGCCCCCCCCCCCCCCCAGAATCCTATAGAACGGCCGATATTTAATCCGCGCAGAAACGATCAAGGATTAATAATATAATCGTGTTTAAGCAGATAGTCCATCGCCGGGCCAACTAACTCATGTGAAGGCCAATGTAGACATTATCGAGGCTTCTCCCCGCCCCGGTTCCGATGCGTACGCACATTGTCCGAAGACCCCCCATACGCAAGCGTACGCATTTGGGTTAACCACCCCCCCCCTCCATGCGTACGTACTCAATGGATGGCCCCTTGCGAAGGTGAGCAGCAGCGACTACGGGGGCTACAACGTCCACACCCTGGATGGGAAACTCCATTACCGGGACGCCCTAGGGGCCAGTTGTCAAACCGCTGCTGCGTCTGTGGCCCGGGAGTGAACAAACCCCGCAGCGAATTGTGGTACCAACAGCGCCAGGCCGAGACGACCTGCCTCTGAATAGGGGGCACAGTGGGGTGGGTGGGGTGGGGGGAGGGGGGGGTCTGCTACTGATGCGTAATGTCACCTCGAGCGGTGGGGGGGGGGGGGTTACAAGCGCCAGCAGCAGCGGCGGCTGAATGAGAGAGATATGGCGCGATCACTCATGGGGCGAGGCGAATGCGGGCCATGCATTGGGGAAGTGGCAAGCTCATTTCTGGTGTGGACTGCACGCACGTGGGCGAGGGGCATCAGGTGATGATGCAGTCGAGGCTGGACGGGATGAGGGTAGACTGATTCACCAGAGAGAGAGAGAGGGGGGGGGGAGCAGTTTCGTCGTCGATAGCAGTTGCGTAAATCGCGTGGGGCAGGCAAGAGGTGGCTTGCACCCCCACCCGAGTTGGTCCCCCCTTGATAAGCACCGTGAGAATTGTTTTCAACAACAGTGTCAAAAGAACAAAACGCTGATTTAAAACGCGGTTCCAAATTATATATATTGTTTAATGAAAATCCCTTCGTTTACCGTCCGCGTTAATTTTTTTAAAAGTAATTAGAGCAGAAATCGTTTGGCTTCCGCAACAATTTACGCAAATCAAATATTTGGAGAGAAGGGTGGGGGGGTGGGGGGGGGCAGGAGGCACCTGACCCGCTTGCCGCACTCCCTGAGCTGATAATAATATTGTCACGACGCCACTGGTCAATAGACAACCTTGAGCGCGGCGTGCAGGACTTGACAAATTCAATTGCAGCTGAGCGCCGTGTCGTGACGATGTGATGGTGTTGGGGGGAGGGGGGACCACGGGTCAGCTGCGGCATCTTTACCCGCGGCCTCAAGGGCCAAACGTTGCGCCTGCACATCGGAACATTTTGGACAATCGTTCGTTCAGCTCGCAAAGCCGCCACTATAAACTTAACCCTCGCTTTAATCCAAAACCCCATATCGGCCGAGCTTCGAACTCCCACGTTATTCACTCCAGCACGACTACCCCTACTAATCGCCTACTGCACAGCCCTTTGTCAATCCACTGCTGGATGGAGAGCTCGCGGCATGCCGTGTCGGTCGTGGGGTTTTGTCTGGATATAACCTCGCCACGCTCGCCAGGGTGGGTTGAAGTTCGTTCGGATATCAATCACGACCAAATAAAGCCATGGTCAAGAATCGAACTCAGCTTGCGGGTTTCACAGCGCAGTGCACTAACCACCGTACCACCGCTCCCCCAACGCTGCTACGATCGTCAAGCTTTCTGCTCGTCCCTCTTACTCCAGTACCTTACTGCAATTAAAGGAAGCACCGACGCCTGGACAACAGCTCGGTATAACGACCTTGTTACGACCTTGGGTGGAGGTTTCAGCCAAGAGCGGCTGAACGGTACAGAAGCATCCTCGTGGTAGCTGCTACACCACTAGCAGCAGCTGTAGACTGCTACAGAAAGCAATTCGTGTCAATATCGTTTATCACGAGTAATTGTTTGCCCTGATGAGCCTGTTCCTGACTTGAGTCCTTGAATGCAGTGCTGTCTATATCACAGCACGTATTGTTCTTTTAGTTATACATTCAGTATATTAAAAAAAAGTTACCATTATTTTTAAAGTCAAATATGAGGTTCTGTGGTTCACATCTCATATTACCCGTGCAATTTCTTTCCACATTAAATTAAGGGGCGCCGCAGTGTGCGAGATGTTATCTCCCTCGCCTGTTATGCAGGAGGTCGTGGGTTCGATCCCCACTCTGACGGCTGCAGTATATTTGGAGTTTGCGTGTCTCTCTCCCTGTGGTCGCGTGGATGTTTCTCGGGGTCCTCCGGTTTTTTCCCCTCCACATTTAAAATCAACATCGCGCGGTTTAGAGTATGTTGGCTGCTATACATTTCCACGTGACGATAAGCCACTTCGTTCAACTATCATTTTCGGCCAGGTCGCTGCTGACAAAAGAAAAGAGCTAATAGCGATTTCGCTACTAACATTGTTTTTGTTTAAATTCCCACGGCGACTAACTCATGTAAGGGAAGGCTGCATATCCGTCGTCGATCGAAAAGTTTTCTGTTTGCTGAGCTATTACCGAGCCATCATCGCTGCCTGCCGAGCATCCATCAGGGTGCCTCGCCTGCTGTCGGGTCAATGTCCAACTACAGTATCAAGATTTAATAGCGACGATCCGCCCACGGGAGGGGTTATACGTTGATTGAATGGCAAACACCGGTCACTATGTGCATGCAATTATATTCCACTCTCGTACGTACACACATTAGTGTGAGCGAATCTAAATTCAAAGGCTTACGGATGATAGCATTATGAACAGCATTATAGTGGGTATAATATTGTGGTGATGTCCACGATAACATCATTTCAGTATGGGATACATAAGCCGATGCAGTAATCGCACGATTCAACCTAGGAATCACGTGTGTCCTGAAAAATCGTGCACTAATGAATGTTCGCTCACACGGCACGTGTGGTGTCATATACAACGTAATCTGTTCCAAGGTCGGACGTGCGTCAATATTGACACGTGCTTAAGACTTGCATGTACCCGCGAAAGCCTCGGCGGGCCCTCACGACCCCAGGCCAATTCCATTCACGAAGTATTTGGGACTTACAGACGAACCGGAGTGCTGGGGATAAATGCCGCATCGGAGAGGGTAACATTCAAAGCTCCGGAGATATCGACTCACGAATCAATGGCCCTGCACTGCTATCCCCTTGCTCGCCTCCTAGCTTTAAACTCACGGCACACGCGTGGTGTTCATCGGGCGGACTCTGGCTCATATCTTTCGTTCTGCCGAGAATATGGGGCGCATTCGGGTTAACACGATGTTGCCTCGATTGTTCTCGTAATTCCGTGACCGCACGGACGGACACTCGCATAGATTTCCGCGTAACACATTTCAATGATTGCACACACACACAAACACACACGTGCCGTGCTCTACGTAATTTATCCGTGATGATTGTCGTAGCGGTATAAAGAGATACGTACCTTTGGAGGTATGCCGATAAGAAAAATACGTTTAAGGCTATCAATTATTTAAGTGTGTACACCGATAACGCATGCAACTGATTAACAATTCGGCACTGCGTCCTGTATGGGGGGTTGGGGGTGACTGCGCGTGTCATCTCTACCGAACAACACGACGTCTCGGACGATACAACGGCAACACGCACGGACGGACACTCGCTCACCGGTCTCGTGCACGGGCTACGCCTGAGAGCTCTGGCGCTGGGACATAGCAGACGCTACTGCTACAGCAGCAGCAGCAGGAGGAGCAGGAGCAGCAGCAGGAGCAGCAGCAGGAGCAGCAGTAGCAGCCACCCAGCTGTGCCGGGACAGCCGAGGGAGCGGGGAGTTTATAAAGCGCGGAGGAGCCGGGGCACATTGCGCATGCACAGAGCCCGCCCGCCCGCCCGCCCGCCTCCAGCAGCGTGATAGCAGCAGCGGCCTCCTCCGTGGCCTGTGTCACGATTCACCACCCCTCCCCTACCCCCTCTCCTCCAGCCGCCACACCGCACACGGCCACCATCAGCATCATCGTCATCATAATAATGAGGGATTAATTTCAGATGGGGCTGTCTGGGGCTGAGCTCCGGAATTGTGATATGGGACCTTTTTGTCATTATTAAAAAAAATAATAATGACAAAAATAATAGGTTTCACACTGGCTGGCAATAAAATACGAGGTGTTAAGATGTTCAAACACCAAAAATGACACCTAATGCAAGCATAAACATGTCTCTGCTGAAGGCCAATCAGTTTCAAAGACAATATATTCTCAGAACATTTTTGTTTGCATGTTCACCACAAGTACGTGTGGTTCATGAAGACATGATTCCTTGCAAAAAGGGTTTCCTTTGGGTGTTTGAACATCTTAACACCTGTTGTATTTTCAGAAAGGGCAAAACCTATTCTTATTTTTCAAACATGCTCTAATAATATATGCATTGTCTTTAAAACGGATTTGCCTGCACCAGAGACGGCTTTCTTTATGGCCCTGTCTCACCAGTGTCAGACCAGAGAACGCCAAAAGCGCTCTCGGGTTGAACAGGTGTGTCTATTGGGACATTTTTTCCAGTCTCAAGCAAGAGGCTTTCACATTTCTGGCAATAAAACGGGTGTTAAGACGTTCAAATATATGTTAAATATGCTCCCATCCTCCACACACCCCCTCGGCTCTCATCCCGCCACCTCCCACTGTCGCTTCGGTTTGAACCCAGACAATTATCAGCCACGGTCACCCCACTGCTGGATTAAAGGCCTCCAGAAGTCGCCGATGCTGCGATGGATGTTAATGATCCAAGCGGGCACCTGCTCGCTCCGTCGCCTCGGGAGAGATGCTGTCTGCTGGACATCGGTGAAATAGAGCCTCGTAGTTAATCGGATTTCTCCTGGATAAATACAGATGCGGATTCTGTCGAACGCGTTTCATCTCGGCGACAAGATTAAGTGAACGCGACGCTCGGGCCGCGATTCGATGACGAAATCGACTTTCTCGGCTCGTGTTTTACAATCTCGCCTGCACTCACTATTGTGCTCGTCCCATTAGCTCATATGTCACGTTAAAATAGAATTTGCACGATAAAAAAAAAATGTTGATCCTAACAGATGCACATTTCACGTGCCTTAAATATCACGAGCCTTCAGAATCAATACCAATCGAGAGCAATCGATCCGATGATTCCTCGTTGCAGCCCTGCACACAAACTACACAGTGTATGGTAATTCCCCGTTTAACGCGGTAGATGCGTTCCTGAAAATTGCCACGTGAAGAGATGACGCTTTAAGCGGAAAACAATTTCGACATAAATAAATCACAATAAAGTTTGGCGAGATACAATGTACTACACACACACATTGAGATGGTGGGACAACTGAGAGTACGCCGCCGCGTCACTGCACTATTCAACGTGCTGTATCACTCCGCTCAGCTGCGCGGTTAAAGAAAGTAGTTTGTCGTTGACCACTCAGAAACCGCGTTATAACGGTGCGCGCTTCGCGTTGTGCGGAAAGTATAGGACCACGTAATAGCGAAAACGCGTTGCGTGAACAATGCGCGTTAAGCAAGGACTTGTGGTACACAGAGAATATTAGAGATGCGATCCCCAAGTTTAAGAATAATCCGAAACTTCAGAAAATTAGGCCTAGACATGAAATGTAACGAATTATTGAATCCAGCATTTGTTAAAATTTAAGGATTCTCTGGCTGTGAAGGTGACCAGAGTGACTGAGTGAGCCACGTGACCTGTGACGACCCCTCAACAGAGCGCCACGTGGGCAAGCTTGTCACGCTCTTGCGGATTGATCGTTCCCGGCCACGGTGTCGGGATTGAATTTTGCAAGGATCTGAATCACTCTCATTCCACTGGAGGTCGTGACTAGCGCGCTGGTTGCACAGCTCGACATAACCTCAGTGGCGAGATGTTAACTACCTCGCCTGGTATGCAGGAGGTCGTGGGTTCGATCCCGTCCCTGACGCCTTTTTATTAGGAGTTTTCGTGTCTCTCTCTCCGTGGTTGCATGGATTTTCTGCTTTTCCCCTTCACATTCAAAGACATGCGTTGAGAGTATTTGGCTGCGATACATTTACACATGATAAGCCACTGGGCTATCATTTGTGGTCAGGTGGCTTCTGAAAAAGATCTATATAGCTCAGTGGGCCTTACCTGGCAAAATGAAAAAAAAATGAAAATAGTTTAAATAGTAATAGCCGTTACGTGCTTTGGCGTTTAGGCTGTGTTGCGTGACTGACTTTCCATAAAATTGCCCCCAGGTTTCCACAGGGGTAATTGGCTCCATCTTTCCTTACCCCATTCATCTCATTAAGAAAATTGAATATATCCAGGCCAAACGTTGGCGGGTGGTGGCGGCAATGTATTGTGAACTTATTTCGCACCGTACGTAGCCAAACTGTGCTAATCGGAGGTGTGGGGTAAGGACAACTAAACACAAAAAGCAGTTCTATAGAACACAAATTCATAGCTCCAGTGGCTTCCTAATATCGGAAGGAAGAGCGTTCCAGGCGGCCGCAGAAGCGCATCTGAAAGCGCGCGACGCGGTGACCGTCTCTGTTCGATGGCGAGCCAAAAGCCGTTGCTGCGAGGATGACCGGAGTTCACGTGTAAGGCAATGCGTGATGAGACTCAATGTTTTTTTTCCACGTTTGTTACACAAATTAAACAGAAACGGAATTTACTTACTTTGATAATCATTGTTTATTAGGGAAGAATAAAACAAATCCTTCCCTTAGGAAGAACCAGTGCCATCTTGTGTACATTACGAGGAACTACCGTGATTCGGTCTCTGCCAGTCTACCAACGAGAGATCTTGAGAAATGTTTGTGGTACATGTTCGAGTAGGATCTCATTCAGACGGGAAGGAGATGCCAACCGAGTGTGCAGATTATGAACAAGCTGTAAGCTATAATTATTTTTGCTTCGTACAAAAATAATGGGACGAGCAAAATGACCGAGCTACTCCGATGGGGTTTTGGCCATTTGTGAAATCGTCAATTTCCTGAGCCGTTTTTAATTGATGAGCAGAAGTAAGATTTCCAAATGAAGGAACATTTTTACCCAAAAGATTCCGACACAATAGTCACTTGTCTACATTGGGGAATTGGCTCTGTCCTGCATTTCTACACGAGCATAGTGAAGAAAATTGTACAAGACGAGATAAAAAGTTGCAGGATTTCAACAAATAATGCACTTTACACTTCATTTACACAGCCTGTAATCCAGCAATGTTGTGGTGGATCATTGCACGAATCCTGTGAAACGCCCTTCCCGTGGGCATCGAGGTGCATACCCTGGGTCGCCAGGAGAAGGCAGTACAGCGAGTAGACTCATCACCATCTGTTTCAATCTATATGGGGATAAAGGCGCTGTCCCCGCTCGCGCGTGGGTTTTATTCGGTTCCTCCCACTTGTGAAAGAGCTTCATAGCTCATCGGATTCCTCCAGTATAAATATATATTATTATTCTGATAATAATAAGAAACACTCATTAATTGTCTGAAAACACTTAAAGTACAAAATCGAATGCGGGACCCTCCTGAAAACGAATCCTATGCCTCAGTGTGGCTTTTATGGATATGAAAAATAAATAATACGTGCTTTTTTTTTACATGAAGAATAGTATATATTGTTATTATATATTATATATTGGGTAATGATGGGTCGGGGGTGGGGGGTTCGTCTGCACCAGACATTGGGCACCAGGTGTGCAGGTAGTCGTGGAAAGGTCGCCTTCTGGTGCTGATGCTGGAGCTGCTGTGGCCGTACATCACATTACATGCAGTACGACCGCGGTTAATGCATCCTCGGGGCACGAAGCTCCTTCATAACGAAGTCGGCCCTGGAGAAGCCTTTGGCCGCCCCATTTTTTTGAAACAAGAACAACAAAATTCGAAAACGCTAAAATATAAAATGTTAAAGCGATGTGAAAAGAGTCAAACGTTTAATGCTGCGCCCAGGCCCTGCGATCACGACCGAGCGGAGTTTGTTTCACTCTACGCGATCAGCAGCCAATCACAGAAGCTTCATGAGCCGCCGTCTCCCGCACGCCACCGCTAGATTTCCTCGTTCTGGTCACGCATTTTTTTCGTGTTTTTTTTTGGTTGTTGCTGCAAGTGATCGTGTGGTCTTATTACCCCCCCCCCCCCCATTAAAGCCATCCAAACGAACACCCAGTGTGCGTGGACTTCCGTAGGGAGGAGGGGGGGGACCTACTACAGCGTAAATCTATTTCTTTGGAAACGAAAATGCAGATCATACGGTGGGTAGAGGCGGAACAGATGAAAAGCTAAGTGACGTTGTAATAGAGCGATAAAATCGTACACCCGACAAAATCATGTATGGTATTGTGATCGTGAATCGAGATTCATTGTATTGATTAAGATCAGTCGATCCATAAAAAACCCCAGTAAAAACACCGGGTTACTCATAATTTATAATTTGCGAATTAATCGCCGTCTCGATTATTTGCCAATTCATCCATGGGTCGAGTAATGACGTGACACGCCCCCTTCATTTGATTGGCTAATATCAGCAACGAGATCGGTGATTCCGTCGCAGCCCGCTTGTGTTGTACCACTTCGCGTTCGTTAGGGTTAGCGCAGTCCACCTTAAAGACCACTTTTAGCCAAGCAGGCAAAGAGAAGGCTACTGTGCAGCATTGCTTACATATTGTACCCCCCTTCTCTGAAGTCCCGGAAGGCATCCCAAGGCCTCCCATGCTCTATCTACCGCTGATAACGAAGTTTCTGATAACGCGGCGACGTCACGGAACGCATAGACTTCGTTAACCGAGGTACACCTGTATATCCCGTTCCTATTACACACTGGCACCACTTTGTGTACACTATGAGGAAAGACGTAACTCCGCTTACAAGTCTCGACCGGGGA